GCCCCGCCCGAACCCATGGCCTGCGCCGCCCCTCACCCTTCCTCGCGGTCCCTCTAGTCCCCCAGCCCGGACCTGGGTCCGAGCCCTTACCTCGACCCCGCCCCCTCAGCGCGCATCCCCTTCCACGCCCTGAATGGGGGTGACAGCGGCCGAGGACCCCGGCTGGGAGGGAGGAGGGGCTGGTCCATGGGAGGACCCGCGCCCCCCAAATGGCCCCCGCAGGGTCTGCTGAGACTCCTTCACTAGCCCCCCTGCAGAGCCTTCCTCGGCATCCTCATCCCAACCGCTCACCCGGGGCTGGCCCCCTCCTCCTCCCAACAGCCCCTTTCTCATTCCTGAGCCCCACCCCCACCCGGCTCCATCCTCGGCCTGCCCCTTTCTTCTCCCTCATCTCACCCCAGCCGGGCTCCTCTGAGTCTGCCTGCCCCCCAGCAGCGCGAGCCTTTACCTCGGCCTCGCTCGGGGCTCCCCGTCCCACCATTGCACCTCCGCCTGAGCCTTGGGTCCGCTTCATCTTCTTGTCCTCGTGCCCCCTCCCCCACCGTCTCTCCCACCATGCTGCTCCCGCTCATTCATCCATTCATTCCCTCACTTAACAGACGTTCACTGAGCCCTCCTCTGTGCAGGCCCCATGCTCCAGGCACAGAGAGAGTCAGATCCCATCCCGCCTTGGGGAGCTTCATGGGCTGGAAGGGAACAGACCCTGAGGGTGAGACCCAAGGATGAACTCGGGGTTGCAGGGCCATGGAGGAGGGAGAAGCTAGAGCCCGGGGTCCGATTTTACCCTGCCCCTACTGTGCAGCTGGGCTGGCACTGGGCAGAGAGGACTCTGGCGCAGTCCTACCTGTGAAAAGCACCAGGCCCGTGCCCAGCTCTGTGCTGGGCATGCAGGGCATCTCAGTTTGAGGCCACACTTCTGGGGGGAGTCACAGTCCAATGGGGGAGACGGACTTGTCACCAGACTGTGGCATCTGAGTGCTCCGGGCTGTGATGGGGGTAAGCTCAGGCAGTCGTGGGGCCTGGGATGGGGAACCTCAGGGGACACAGGGTCCGGAAGAGCTGTCTGGCACAGTGAGAGAAGTTCATGGCGAGGGCACACGTGAGCTGAGACTTGAGAAGTGAGGAGAGAGGCACCAAGTGGAAGGGTGAGGACAAGAGTTCTGGGCTGAGGGAATAGTTTTTACGAAGGCCTAGAAGGAAATGAGAAGATGGCGCTTTTGTTGGACTCTTCGAAGTTCAAGAGCTCTGAGAGTAGGGACAATGGGGAGGGTGGGGATGGTGGGACTGAAGAAATAGACAGAAGCCACCTCAGGGTAGCCTTGACTGTCAGCCCCAGACTTCATCGTGAAGACAGGAAGCCACTGAGGGTCCAGACTGCAGAGACAGGGCCAGGTTTATGTTTCCTAAAGATGATTTGTCGTGAAGACGTGGCGGGAGGGGCGAGGTGGAAAGCAGAAAGACTGAGGAATGGGAGCCGTGATTGTCAGCCAGTGGCGGGGGGTGACTGTACTCTGCAGGGGCTACAGAGGGTTTTGAACAGGGAGAGATGGGGTCAGCATGCAACCTGTTCCCTGCCTCACCCTGGGCCCCTGCTCCTGCAGTCCCCTCACCCAAGACCACACATGAAGAATGTCCTCAGCCCAGACCTCACCTCCCCCTGACCTTCACTCCTGCCCCATGCTCAGGGCAGTGTGTGGAGTTCCCCGGGCCATAGGCCCAGGCTGGCAGATAACAATGCTCCCCTTGTCTCTCTGCTCCCATCTCTGGGGGCCTCTGATTCTTCTCTCTGCTCTACAGGCTCGCAGCACTGACAGCCTGGATGGCCCAGGGGAGGGCTCAGTGCAGCCCCTTCCCCCCACTGGGGGGCCCAGTGTGAAGGGGAAGCCTGGGAAGAGGTGAGGGGTGAAGGAGGAAAAAGTGCAGCTTGGGAGGTTTGGGAGGCTGGAAGAGCCAGTGGTGATGTGTCACCCTTCTCCCAGGCTGTCGGCTCCTCGAGGCCCCTTCCCGCGGCTGGCAGACTGTGCCCATTTCCACTATGAGAATGTTGACTTCGGCCACATTCAGGTATGGGGGCTTTGCACCCATGTGGGAATGTGATATCCTATCAAACCCTGAAACAGGACCAGCTACTTTACACCCGAAACATGTCCCAGTGACTGACTGCCCTACCCATGTGAGCAGGAGTTGCCAGAGTCAGGGCAGATGGGGGAGCTACTCACTCATTCATCCATTTGTGCTTTTATTCACTCAACAACAACGTATCGTTGAGTGTCTGTGCCAGGGCCCTGTAATCTGACCAAGATATCAGCAGGCCCTGTCCTTGGGAAGGCCCAGAAGAAGGACACACACCTATCCCTGCATGGTGTCAGTCCAGAGATCAGGACTGGGACAAAAGTGAGGACCTCACCCGAGCCTGTTCCCTCTGCAGCTCCTGCTGTCTCCAGAGCGTGAAGGCCCCAACCTCTCTGGAGAGAATGAACTGGTGTTTGGGGTGCAGGTGACCTGTCAGGTGAGGCCACCCTGCCTCTCATCTAGCCTGAGGGACTGGCTACCGTAGTCCTCAGCTCAGTGTAACGGGATCACTGCTCCCTTCTGTCCCTCCTGCTCCTGTAGGGCCGCTCCTGGCCAGTTCTCCGTAGTTATGACGACTTCCGCTCCCTGGATGCCCATCTCCATCGGTGCATATTTGACCGGAGGTTCTCCTGCCTTCCAGAGCTCCCCCCACCCCCAGAGGGTGCCAGGGCTGCCCAGGTATCTATCTGAGGTTTCAGCCCCTACCTCAGCTATCCACGTGTCCTCACCAGCGATGTGGGAAATCATCAAGGCAGAGGAAATGTGTAATTATTTAAACACCCGCATGGCCTAAGTCCAGCCAACCAGATTGGAGAAGGCGTAGAATGTAGCAGAGCTCTAGAAGGTTCTCTTAGTTTTAAGATCATGGGGAGGCCCAGGGTGTTCCAAAGGAGGGTCAACATACCAATTGGGACACTCAGGAGCACGGCACTGCCCATTTGCTGACTGATAAGGCAGTGTGTGAGCACATAACCCCGAGCGGCAGCCTTGCATTCGGGATTGGCTAGGGTGAGAGGGGTGCAGGGCTCTCAGGGTCTGCCCCAGGAGCCCACCCTGCCCACTTGCCCCCAGATGCTGGTACCACTGCTGCTGCAGTACCTGGAGACCCTGTCAGGACTGGTGGACAGTAACCTCAACTGTGGGCCTGTGCTCACCTGGATGGAGGTGGGCCTGGGCGGGAGCTTGGAGTTGGGACTACGCGGGGGGTGGCCGAGGTGTGAGAACCAGCCTGCAAGTGTGCATGAGCATGGAGAAGAACAGAGCAGGACTGGAGGAGGACTGGTATTTTAGTGGCTGTGTGGGCGTGTGCCTGAGAGCGAGTGTGTGGTGTGTGCGTCTGTGTGTTGTGTGTATTAGCAGGTGTCAGGCTGTGGGGATGTGAGAATGTAAAGGTACTTCGGTTAGAAATGGGTCTGGCTGTAACTCACAGAATCCCTGGATAAGAGTGTTTTAAACGGGAGGGTTTTTAGATAGAGAGCCAAGTGTGCAGTGTCTGCTATGGAGGATGGGGTGTGGGGTATCTGGGGAGGACTTGGGCTAAGGGAGTCCTGGGGCATGTGAGGGCGGAGGACAGAGCTTGTTTTAGATGGGGAAGGATTGAGGTGTTTGACCAATAGCTCTGAGTGGCAGAGGCTCTCAGAGAGGAGACAGGTGGTGGCCTTACTGGGCATGGAGGAACCTTGTCTGCCCAGCTGACACCTTCTTCTGGCCTCCCCTTGCTACATCCGCCTCCATCTCAGTTGGACAATCATGGCAGGCGACTGCTCCTCAGTGAGGAGGCCTCACTCAATATCCCTGCGGTCGCTGCCGCTCACGTGATCAAGCGGTACACTGCCCAGGCACCGGATGAGCTGTCCTTCGAGGTGAGGCTGTAGGAGAGCAGATCCCAGCGGGGCTCCCCACTTCTCCTGCCTTTTCTGACCCCCCTCCTCCCACCTACCCACCCCCTGTCTCCCAGGTGGGAGACATTGTCTCAGTGATCGACATGCCACCCACGGAGGATCGCAGCTGGTGGCGGGGCAAGAGAGGCTTCCAGGTGACCCTGACGTGGGACGGACAGGTGGGGCTAGGGCACCATGACAACTGGGGTGGCCCAGCCACTGACCCTGACCCTTCCTCAGGTCGGTTTCTTCCCCAGCGAGTGTGTGGAACTCTTCACAGAGCGACCAGGTCCAGGCCTAAAAGCGGGTAAGTGGCAAGGACAGAGTGGGGAGGCCCTCCTGCATCTTGTGCCACATTCATCCTTTCCACCTGTTGTCTACTCCACAGATGCCGACGGTCCTCCGGGTGGCATCCCGACTCCCCAGGGTATCTCCTCTCTGACCTCAGGTAAGGGAAGTAAGGGGCCATGACTCTGCCACCTACCCCTTGCCCCACCAGGCCTATGTGTGCACTGACCCTGCCTGGCCTGCCTTTGCCCCCACAGCTGTGCCCCGACCACGTGGGAAGCTGGCTGGCCTCCTGCGCACCTTCATGCGCTCCCGCCCTTCTCGGCAGCGGCTGCGGCAGCGGGGGATCCTGCGGCAGAGGGTGTTTGGCTGTGATCTTGGGGAGCACCTCAGCAACTCAGGCCAGGATGGTGAGGCTGAGACCGCCTGGCCACCTGACTTTGCCCTCCCACCTGCGGTGCGGCCTACCCAGACTGACCCACTACGTTCTTCCAGTGCCTCAGGTGCTACGCTGCTGCTCCGAGTTTATCGAGGCCCACGGGGTGGTGGATGGAATCTACCGGCTCTCAGGAGTGTCCTCCAATATCCAGAGGCTACGGTGAGAGCCCAGCACCAACCCATCCTTCCAAAACTATTACTGAGCCCAACTTCGTCCCAGCCTATATCATGTGCCAGGGACACAGTTGTTAGGAGGGCAGAGAGCAGGATGGACCAAGGCTGTGACCAGAGAGGGCTTCCTTGAGGAGGTGGCACCCCAGCCAAGGCTCAAAACACAGCAGAGTTGTTTTTTCTTTTTTTAAAGAATTATTTTATTTCATTTATTATCATCATTATTATTTGTTTAATTTGACCAGAGAGAGACAGAGAGAGAGAGAGAAAGTAGGAAAGCAAGCCTCCAGGTCCAGGACTAGAACCGTGGTCAGCCATGTGGGAGTCCAGCGCTTTAACCACCATGCCACCTGCTGACCCCTACACAGAGTTTTTTAAAAGTGTATTTACTTCTTCCATGAGCAAGATAGAGGCACCCCAACAGGATCTTCATGCTACAGTCCTACCCCCATCCTCAGCTAGCCAGGACCATGGGCAAGCATGCATGCACAGCATGTACAGGGAGATCTTAGGACTAGAACCTGGGGCCTTTCCCATGTGGCTTCAGCATCGTGGAGTGCTGCAGTACCACTGCACCAAGGCCTGAAAGGTTTAAGTAGAGTTGGCTACAGAGCAGAGGGATCAAGCTTCACTGAGCACCTGCCACCTGCCAGACACTGTTCTAGGTACTGGGGTCACAGCAGTGAATGAGACAGCCAGAAACCCCTGCCCTCCTGGAGCTCACATGCTGGAGGGAGAGAAAAGGGAGAAAATGGTAGCATTTACTAGAAGGTGACGAGCACTGTAGAGAGGAAGGAATGGGGGTAAGGAGGAGCGTGATGATCAAGCAGAATGGAGTGCTGCAGTTCGAAGCAGCATGAGCAGAGAGGCCTGGTGGGGGAGAGCCGAGGAGGTAAGGAGCCGAGCTGACCAAGCAGGGATCCCGGGTGGAGAGTGCCTGGTGGGGAGCGTAGACAGGGTGCAGGGGAAGCAGCAGATGGCCCTTGTCTGAGGATCATCAGGGCAAAGGTGCAGCCTTTTGACCACTGTTAGGATTTGGGCTTTTACTCTGAGTCAGCAGGCAACCACAGGAGGGTTCTGAGCCAAGGAGGGTCACCATGTGTAACAGTCTCAAGATGGGGAGGAGTGAGGTGGGAGAAGGGGCCGCCAGCAGGCCCTGAGGTGAGAGCACACAGCCTGGGGGAGCAGTGAGACAGGCATGAGGTCCAGGAGAGCAGGCATTTGTACCAGTGAGCAGTAGGGTGATGGGGTTTTATCG